TAACTGTTGCCTCAATTATTATACAAAATTAGGATCAGGTTTAATAAATATGTTAAGCATCTTGCACAGAGGAGCAAAACTAGAGGATCAAAACTAGAACCAGTAGGTTCAAACTCAAAGAGAAGGGATTCTGACTAAACAATTACGTAGAACTTCATGATAGCATGCATTTTGTGAGAGGGAACATCCCACAATACAGCACTGATGTTACCTGTCTGTCATGGGTTTGGAGGGAAAGTTCCATCCTATGGGGAGTGGAAGGCGGGACATCAGGAGGAGGGGCTGTACTGTATAAATATGTGGAGCGTGTGTGGTGAAGGGACACACACACGAGGAGACACTGTGAGACACTGGGTTGTGACGAAGCAGCAGCTGGGAAGAAGAAGCTGTTGTGGGAGTCTGTGTGTCAGACAGGGTACTACTGTGTGTCAGAGTACCAACCTGATAGGTTCAGGTGTCTGTTGGTTAGCCAGAACTGATAGGTTCAGGGTCTGTGCTTCAAGTTAAGGGTTCTGTGTGAACCAAACTGTGTGTGTGTATGAGTGAAACTAAGCCACGTTACTTTATTTTATACACCTGATTGTTTTATGTTCCCTGTGTGTATTTAAATAAACCTTATTCTTTTTATTTGTTAAAAATCCATCCCTGGTCTGTGTGACTTCTTAAAGGGAATGGTTGGTGGCAGCTTAGTAACTGTGTGACATATCCCAGTAGGTCTGGGTTTGTCACAGGAACATCCCACCTTGGAAGGCTGTGATTACTCCTTTGTTAAGGACCTCTAAGTCGTGGTTGGATGGCTGCTTATGAAGCAAGCTGTAGCAGCAGATTTCCTGTGTCAAAAGGGAAGTGAATGAGATAACCTGAAGGTCCATTCCCATTTCCTGGCTCTATTTGGTGGGGGATTCTGGCAGTTGTCATCTGGAAATGTATGCTTTCCAAATTTTGTTCCAATGCAGATATTTAATGGAGTTTTTGTCATGACAATCTTACGTAGGTCACCAGTATATCTAGTATCAAATTCTATATTTTTCTCCTTTCTGACGTACTTGCAATTATCTATACTACTCCTTACAAATATACCATCTTAGTACTGTGTTGCTTTTTAATACAATGGCACCTCGACTTGAGAACATCCCTACATACGAACGATTCGAGTTAAGAACGGCACTGTTCGCAAAAAGTTACTTCGACTTGAGAACGGAGCCTCAACTTAAGAACCAAAAGAAAAAAAAGGAAAAAACCCTTTCCTGCCCTTTTTTTGACCTAAGCTCGTTGTCGTTGTTTAGCCGTGTCTGACTCTTTGTGACCCCACGGCCCAGAGCACGCCAGGCCCTCCTGTCTTCCACTGCCTCCTTAGGTCAAAAGAAGAAGAAAATTTAAAAAATCCACCCCTAGTGGTAGATACGGATTAACTGGCTTAAAAACAGTGCCTTGACTTAAAAATGAAAAACAGCAGATATGGATTAAATGGTTTTCAATGCATTCCTATAGGAAATGGTTCTTCGATTTAAGAATGTTTCGACTTAAGAACGCCGTCCCAATACGGATTAAGTTCTTAAGTCGAGGTACCATGGTAAATCCATTTTTCCTCATTAGAACTATACCTGCTTTGTTAAATCCAGGTATCTAGTGTAACTAGCAAAATCGGTAGTACAAACATCTGAAGCAGTATCAGGTAGTAGCTCGGGCACTGCTCTGAATGCATTAATCCCTTAGGTACCCATGTATGCATAAGTACTAAGCAAGAAGACGAATCTAATTATCACGCTGAGTGTCATTTCAGATAGCTACGTGCATCTTTTGTGACCTGTTTGCCACGGGGATAAGTATGCATGTACTGTTGGAAGAAGGATAAATGTACCAGGACAAATACAAACCAAACAATAGTCACACTCATTTACAATTTCTGATGTGCAAAAACCTCTTTCATGAAAGAAAGCTTACCATTCCAAGATTGTGCTGGCAGGAATCTGAGATAAGGCCATGTAAACAGTATAAAAACCTCTTCAACTGGTTTGAAAGAACATAAAGCCAAAGGATCATTCTGAAACACTAACTCATTATTCCTATATCTTTCAGAATTTGCAAATATATCAATACACATATAATTAATAATTATAACTACGCCATCATGTTAATTCCAGTTTATGGTGTCCCGTTCCAGGGTTTTCTATGTACTCAGAAGCAGTTTACCAGTCTCTCTTTCTAGAGGTGCACTGGGACTGTACAGCTTGCTCAAGGCTACACAAGGTTGGCTTTTCTCCTGGGACGCACAATAGGGAAATGTACTGTACTTCCAACTTTGGCCTTCGCAACTGGATACCTCGCTCCCTCAGCTAACCAGATAGCTCGCATATAAATACACACATATAATTCGTCATATTAATATAAACATCAAAAACCAAGACAGAAATGCCAAAAAGGGAAGATTCGCACTGCAAAGACTGCTACTAAAACTGATATGGTTGTGTCTCTGAGCTTGAATACATTTGTGCAGTTGCCCTAATATGGTTATTCTATAAATAAAAGAAGAGAATGTACCAAATATTCCTGCTTGTGACTTTCAGTTATTTGCAGTTTTAAAAGGATTTCTTAAGAAGAAGTGGTTAACTAGGACGAAAGCTGGCTGACTGCTCTGCCTGGAATGGAGTACCCCTTGCACTAGGAGGTACTAGATGTCGCCTTGCATGAGCACTGGAAAATATGCCACCAGGAGTACTGAACTCTCATTGGCTCCCCTGGAGTCAGGCCAAATAGCCACAGAGGCCAGAATCCTGATAGCTACTTTGTTCTGGCATTCCAAGCACTCCCACCCTAGCCTTCTGCTGCCGTTCATCTTTGTAGCCCCCTGAATGTGCCACCATGTTCCTATCTCACATGCTACCTAGGAAACAGTTCCTGTTCTGTGCTCCTTACTATGAAGGCAGGGGGTGTGTGGCAAGAGCAGCACCTGCTGCCTTACAGGGAGGGCACAAAGCACAGGAGCCAGACGAGGCATAAACCAGTGGTGAGCTGGGTAGTGAGGGAAGAAATGGCACATTTTACTGCTTTTGGTGACTCCTATTGGAGGATCTTCACTCTGCTTAATAGTAATAATAGCTATTCAACTTTAGGAGAGCTGAAACACCTGGGCATACAAATTGGGGGTTTCTTAAACACCAGGCCATATTTCAAACAATTTCTAGAAATTTAAGTAACTTGACATGCAACACTGGGTGCAGTTGTCCCCAATATACAGACTTAAAATAATATTCTGTGCACATTCCAGAGCTAGTTCTGCAGTATTCTGGATCTTGGGCTGAGTGTTAACTGCTGTGATCAGGTAACTAATCGGGTTTCCCCAAGACTAAGCCCTAATACTGCTAAATTATAAGTGATTCCCTAACCAGCCACATGCATCTATGCTTCAGCTACCACTGAGCATGCATTAAAATCCATTTACAAAGATTTATGTGCAACAAACAGTAGATTCTTTCCAAGCTTTAGAATGATAATCCTGTTAGCTCATGTACAATCACCTCATTTTAAAAGAATGAGATTATGCAAATGAGTAAAACTGGCAAAGAATTGCATCTGGCACAGAGAAGAACAATTATGCCAACAGCCCAATACATATCAATATATTTTAAAGCTTTTTCCAGTTTTCCCTGTTCTGGATGATTCTCTATTCATTCTGCTTGCTGGTTATGATGTTTAATGAAGGTCTGTGTCAGAAACCAACCTTTTTCACTTAAGCCAAAAAAGTATTTTAAAAAAATGGGGAGGGGGAAATTCCTTAATTTGCTCCAAACCTCATGGGAAGGCTATTTGAAATTTCCATAACCTTTTCATACACAAAGGTAGCGGGGGAAATTATTGATAGCTACTGTAATTTATGTAGATGTTTCATCAAATATAAAACTTGTTGAACTTTGAGACAGGAAACTCAAGAAAATCACACAGGTTTATGCATCTTTTTCTTTTTCCATGCATTTTATTGTGTTATTGCCAAGTTTATTTTTGCTCCATAAGTTTTTTCTATGATGCTCTTTTCTATACTTTGTTACTGTTGCTGATTGCAAGAGAGTAAGAAGCAGGAGTAGAACTCTTACACTGTGGACTGAAGCTTTATGCAATAATACACAAGTTGAATTGTGTAATCTGCACTGCATCACACAATTTATGAAGAATTGCTAGTATTTTAAAACTGAAACAGATGGATTTTTTTCATCTGATCACCATTGCACACTTTGGAACATTCTTTATCAGCTCAGTGCCCTGTTACTTTCTTGAGAAATACCACCCTTTGGCCTGAATCCTCTTGCCTAGTTTCCCTGGTCTAACACAAGTGGTGTAACTTTTGGAGGTGAATTGCATAAAATTAAGAAATCGCCTAGAGTGGTTGAAATGACTAGATAGGCGGGGGATAAATACAATAAATAAATAAATAAATAAATAAATAAATAAATAAATAAATAAATAAATAAATAAATAAATGAAATAAATAAATAAAAGATATATGTTGCATGCTGAGTTATGTAAATAACTGCACGGCTGATAATGTGATTTCTTAACTTGGGCCAATTTGCCTCCAAAATTATGCCATTTATGTAGCTACACAAGAGGATTTTGGCCACTGAGAGATATTTTAAGGAAACTATTCCCCAATGTCCAAATAAAATTAAGAAGTCCCTTTAGAAGAAAAAAGAAGAAGAAATAGCTGGAAAACGTGGCAGCAATACAGAAATCTTAGGAATGAAATCTGGGTTCAGGCGGGCTACATAGCATGCTAAACAATGCTGGAAGGGGCCAAATTGGGAAGCAGCAAATCCCACTCTTCCAGAAATACAGTTGAGAAAATAACTGGAAGCAATATCTAGATTTTCTGCTTTGAAATTTTCATGGTTTTTACCTTACTAGAGTTTACATTCTAATCCTTTTTCAAACCTAGACTGGGAATATTATGCCGATACATAAATAAATACCCATTTATTTAATCTTCCAGCCTCCTGTGGACAAGTGGACAGATCTGGGCCAGAAATTTCATTCCCAGAAGAAGTTTTTTGAGAGAAGATTCCCAATAAGCTCCCAAAGACAGCAGAAGCCCCACAAATACTCTACACATTCCATGCTCCTCAACTACAGCAAACCTGGAGCCAATGACATCTGAGACCCTGAGGAAGAAGCCACAAAATCAGAGGAGGTGGCAAAGCAAACATTTAACCTCAACATGCATTGGTGGCGGAAGGCACAGATGCAGGTGGCCTCCAGTTGGTGATGCAGACGATTAAGAATCAAGAAACACCAGATTTTTGGGGTATGAGAAGGCTCCAGGAAGGTAAATAAATTCCCAAAGAGTAAGGGTCAAGTGCAGAAAATCTAGAGAATTCGCCCAAATGTTTGCAGTGGGTTTCTGGAGAACCATGCTACTTAGGTGTGTAGTTCCCCTTTTTCCACTGCTTAAACATCATAGGTCCTAGCTCTTTGAAACCTGGCAGTCTTGTGCATTTTGCTTGCTCCTAATGTCTGGCATCCAGACCCTCATTCCTGAATTTGTTCCTAGTCCTGGACCTCCATTCTGCATGACTTGTATTCTTGACCTTTGGATCATGATCATAAACACAGTGCTTCTCCTGGTTTGACTTTAGACTATACTTGGTTTTTAACACAACCAGTGTTAATCTCTAGGCTGAAGTAAACAATTACTGCCCTAAACTAATTAAATCATCAAACCAGTTATTTGTATGGAGGAAATGATAGAATAAGAGTAGTTTGGAATGTGGAGGGGGGGAACAGGTGGACATAATTATAGTATTGCAAATCTCTGTCAAAGCCTGTTTTCCAAAATGGTCAATAGTCACCATCCAAACCTGTCAAAGTTTGCTACCTTGTCTGTGTAAGAGTATTAGAACAATTATTGGGGGGGGGGGGAAGGTATAGAAAATTGCTCTAAAAGTATAGTACTTTTAACCTTATTACATAAAAACATTGTTTACTACAACTGGCTCCAGGAAATGGTCACTGAAATCATTACAATTATTTGACAATCATTTTGCTATCCGATCTATACTGTACACAAAAAATATGAAAATAGTAAACAATGACATCTGATGAGTAAATGGTGTAAATAGAGACCACTGCTTGTGGGCAGATGTGATGTACGCATGTTTATTCTTCTCCTTATAGGTAGAGAGGCAAGCTGAATATGAAAACAAGGTCAATGGAAAAATAGTCATCACTTCTAAGAAGTATAGCTGTTGCTTTGTAGCGAGTCAGATAAACAAAAAATCAGAGTATAAATAACTGGCAATTTCTGACATCCTTAATCTGTGCGACACAAAATAACAGAGTGCATATCATAAACAGAGACAAGGCACCAGAATAGCAATATTGTTTTTTCCTTAGACATTTAAGTGTACTCTAGATGATTTGGGAGATAACAATTTGTATTGGTTTTATTTGCATCTAAACATGCTTAGAGCGAAACAGTGCTTTTAAACTTTATTTTTAGTCCTGATGACTTTAATATTATAAGAGATGTAGCTCTTGCATTAGACTGCACTTAAAAGATTCTCATTTTTCTTTTTACCTTCAAAAGAATCTTGACTCTTAAAAGATATTATGTTCCTATATTTTAGATTTAACTGTGTACCTTCAACTTAAGTTCTATTTTCATATATGTGCCTACAGCTTCTTATGACGGTAAGGATGATTTTTGCAAGATAAAATGAAATGCTTGTGACTTCTCAGGAGTTACATTAAAAATATTTTTGGATTTCATATTATGCTTATGGGCCCTAGAAGATATGCAGCTTTGCAAATAAACTGGCTTATAAAGGAAATGTACAAAGTGCCCCCAAGTGAGGTCTGACACATCTATAACATCTTTGTTATAGTAGCGGGTTTTGGGGTACAAGCTAAGTGCAAACTCAGAGCTGAATCATTGAACATTTGCATTTATGTAGCAAGATATAACAACAGATATGAAATAAAACTTTTATTTATATAAAGTTTCCCTCCATTTGATTCCTCATTATCTTTGCAAGCAGTTGGCTTTGAAGCACACTGCATGAAATATTATATATGCATTCCTAAATCATGTACTACCTTTTATTTTCCAAAATGTAGCCATTTGGGTCAGGGGTGTGACTCTGGAAACACCTGTATCCCCCCAGTTATTATTGCAGTCCCCAGCCCTCCACAATCCCTTCTTTTCTGGCAAAAAAAAAAATATCTATGAATTGTAGCTTCTGGAAACAATGTGTGCAATCTCCACACTGTGCACAACATTCATTCTTGCAAGTGCAGAAATTCTCATAGTGACTAACCAAAAAACATTGCAGTTGTGAGAAAAATGTTGTGGCTTCTTACATTCGCACATGGATTTACATCCCAATTTAAACAGTTCATACTTCTCTACCATGGTGATGAAGGGATCCACCACACTGTTGGCAATAATAAATAATTTCCATACAGCCTGAGTTTTGCAACCTCCATAAAAGTGGAGCTACCACCACTGTCAAGAAAATAGGACCCTTTGGCATGGTGGAGCCCACATCTGTACAGCGCTAATCCCAAGTAAAGCTGTTATACATATAAAAATGGGTAGTGACAGACATTAGCAAATACTTGGGACATTCTTCATGGAATTAGGCATTTGAGGACACTTCTCAAGGACAGCAATTCTCCACAGTGCCACACACAGTTTCCCCAGTCAACAAACTAAAATGTCCTTCCCATGGGTTCCCAAAGGCTTGTCAGAAGGAATCATAAATACGTGCTTACTGGGGTCAATTTCTTAATCTCTTTGGACTTATGAAGAGCCTCATTGCTTCAGACACAGGCAGAAGGTTAGAGACAAATGTGAAATGTTCTTCTACTCTTCCCCAAGTGTGACAGCACGAATTATCTATGGTGCATATCATGGTACGCTGATGAAATGTGGCAGCCGAAAGTCAATCATTTATGAAATGTTTCAAGCAGATCATTTTGTTGTGAAGCAAAACTAAAGTCTTCCCAACGTAGTTACTTTTGACTTGAAATTGGAGAAAATGCCACAGAGCCTCCAGAAAAAAAAATTAAGAATACAATTGGACAAAAAAATGACAAATTATATATATATTTCTCAATGGGAACTAATTTTTCACAAGGCTTTGGCTATCAAAACATCCTTTCATCAACAAATACATGCTGAAAAAATGAGTGAGGATGCAAACAAAGAATTGTACACAAGTGTACTAAAATATATATCAATACAGGATACAAATGAAGAATTTGTACCAGTGAGTCACTACCACCACCAAACTCACAGCTTGTTTTATGGCAATATACAAATCTTCTGGTAAAAATCTTTCTGCTACTTGACCCATGCATTTCTGTGGGGAATAAACCTGAAGGTAACCATTCAACAGATTGTAGTTTGCGACTGTCTAAAACAATGGATAAGAATATGTAGCTAGGACTCAAATGATGCCTGCTTTACTATACTTTGCAAATGTGTAACTTGCAAGTGGTATGCTTCCTAATTTGTGCACTGTTACCCTTATTGCATTTATTTGGAAGCTAGATAAGCAACATCTGCATCCAGTTTTTGTTTACTAACACAATTCATAACCACACATACACATGATTATGAAACTCAGAACTTGGAAATACCTACCTACCTACCTACCTACCTACCTACCTACCTACCTACCTACCTACCTACCTACCTACCTACCTACCTACGTACATACATACACATTCCTTGCTGTTTAATTGCTGTTACAGATAGCTGTTACAGAAGACTACATGGTGGCCATTTTGGAAAATGGCATCTACAGACTTATTCCAACCTGATGTTGGTATCTATCCTTTTTTAAAAAATCTAAACCAGTCTTTTATGTCAGGAATAGGAAATTGCCATCACTAATGACTTTAACTGCCATCAGTTAGTTGTCTGAAGGAAGAAATGGGAGGCAAGAACAGTGCACAATCTCTTGACTGTGGGGTAGCTCATGTCTGTGGCCGAGGGCACCCCATGAAATTCTGGGGTGGGATATTTCCCATCCTGGCCCATAGGCTGCTCCTGGACCTTAGCTGTTGTTCGTGGTCCTTAGGTATCATTCCTGGATTCACACCTGGACCTGGCTGGGCTTTGCCAGGATGAGTAAACATTAACCTCTATTGAGGCCTTTGTCTGAAAACATGTGGGTGGGTGTGCAAGCTCCTCTTCAGACACTGGTACCTTTGGCTAAATGCAGTCGGAAACTCTGCTGTTTAGGAAGACCCTGATGAGAACTAAACAGAACAGTTCAGGAAAGCTCTCTTATCCCCATCCCTGCAAAACTTCAGTCAAAGTCTGAGGTGTTTCACTTTTTTTAAAAAATTGAAAAATGGGATATAAATGGTGAACCAGCAAACAAACCGGTTTCTTGTTTAATAAATAAGCTCTGTATGAATTCTGGACTGTGAAGCCACAGCTTTTTTTAATAGCAGGTAAAAAATGGCAAACTCCTCTCCTACCAAAAACAATCATGTATTATTTCTATTTACACAGCATGCCTCATCACAGCCAAAGTGGACCCATCCTCCTATTAAAACCATACACAAGCATTCTGAGTCTACAATGAATTCCATCAGGATTACAGGTAAGCAAGCAGGGAAAATAAAGTTCAAAGAAACTACGAGTACAAAAAGAAATAAAGGTTTCATTCTCACAAAAAAGCAGATGAGATGATAAATAATGTAATTGAGCAGCACATCACAGACCCTATGCGTGAAAGCACAAGTTAACCATCCTTCAAATCTCTAGATAAAACAAGCCCAACCTCTTTCATTCATATTATGTGTGATATGCTCCAGATCTCTACGTAACTTTGTTGCTCTCCTCTGGATTACTTCCAGCTTTCCATACATAATTTCTGAAGTCCAGCAAGAGCACAGAACAAAGGATTCACCATTGCTAGGCAGAGTGGGGTGAATCATCTCCTCCCTCTTGATCATGATGCTCCTTTCCTTGCAACCCAGCATGACATCTGCCTAGGCATTCTATGGTTGCCCAACAGGTTGGTAAACTGAAGCACAGGAAATCACCTAAATAGCAAGGTCTTTGTTTTTACCTAGCCTGACATTTCACATTCATGCTTATTCAATGTATGCTTATGCAATGTGTAATCCTTTTTCATTTGTCAATTCTTCCAATTTGCTGTGATAAATGTCACTTATAATCCTGGACTGCAAAACACTTCCATCCTCTCCTGCTTTGGTACTTCCCTGTTCTGTTTTTTAAAGTCATTAATGAATATAATAAATAGGACTAGACTAACATTTACATTTTCCAAAGCATTTGCTCTGTTGTGGGGAAGAAGAAGAGCATGTCCTCATATTCCTTCAGGCATCTATAATAGGAAACTGTCTCCTGGATTATTGAATTTCTAATACTGTATCTGCACAAGCAGGGAAGCAATTAGAATTAGAGGACACCTCTAGACTGCTGGACAGGTATGCTAAAAATAGGATGGTTGAAATCTCTCCCCATTGACAGCAGCTGTTCTGACATCAAGCAACAGCAGGTGAAAGACATTTTTGAGGCTCAAGTCAAGTCTGCCAAGACCATCTTTAATCCAAAACTATCAAATGAGACTTGGAACGAGAATTTCAGAGATACTTTGAACTGCTGACATTCAGTTTCTAATGCAATACAAATAAAGTTAAGGCTGCCAAACTGCATGGTTCACTGTGTACCGTCTTTCCTTTAAGGCCTGGGCTTTTCTCCTCCATATAAAAACAATCACTGGCCATTACAGTCAGGGATAATAGAGAATATGAGAGAAATGCTTCACTCTTATCCTCCCTGCTCTTTTTGCAACCATCACCCCTTAATGCTACTTGTCTGTTGGCAGGCAAAAAGTCATGGGCGATGTTATGAGGGGGCAGGAAGGAAAGCAGTTTGCAATACATGGAAAATGTTTATTCCCTCTTTCCACTGCCACCATCTCAATCCAAACTGGGTCTTCTGCAATTGGAGTAATCTAACTTTTTGGAAAAAGGCAGAAAGAAAAGGAACCACAGGAAACAGAAGCATCGATCTGTGTTGACATATCTACTTGCTCTAAACCCGATCAACACACTAGAAAGTTATCAATGAACCACCTGGATGAAGCTGGTTGGGATGAGCAGCAGAGAAGAGGGTATAAGGCTTAAATAAAAGCTGGTCTTCATGGTGCAGGTTGGATGTAAGAATGCTATGCAAATAAGCGTGGCAAAGTGCCACTCATTAAAATGTATTTTGTAATTATAAATATAAAAGTTATAATTCAATTTGCTTGTACCATTTCAAGAACACTCCTGTTGCATGAAACTGATGCAACGAAGGGACCAATAAATCATAATGGTTGTGGCCTGCCCATTGTGTTTCTGTTTTTCTTCACTGATGTCAATCTTTTCATGACTATTGTGTGCATGCTTCCTTGCAAGGAAGCATGTGACACGAAGACTTTGAACATATAGAAACACCAGTTTATGATTATTTTCTAAAGCTGTGGTGGACCCTGTTATGCCTTTCTTATGGAAGGTGTGCATTAAGTACTCCATCGTTCTAATGTGGCTGTGCAAAGGCTATGATGCTAAGCTGCAGAAATTCATGACCAGGATCTAATGGCATCCTTTCACTGGCAGAAGTACTTTCTTCGCTGGAACCATGAGGAGGGCAAATTCGCCCCACCTCTGATATCTCGGCTCTGGAGGGGTCTCTGGATTGCTGGATGGCATAAAGGGCTGCCATTCGAAGGAGAAAACAAACAAACCCTGGTCTAGCACAATGTCAGGTGCAGTGTCCTATTTGTAACAATTTTCTTGAAATAAATGCATAATTGGTGAGTAAAAGGTGGATACAGAGCATTCCTCAAATTGCTCATTAAATTATTAGAAGTGACAATAACTGGCAGTCTAACATCCATTATCAGGCATACCACACAGGACAAGGTCATTCACAGACTATTGGATGGATGGGACACATCCCCCTGAGGACAAGTAAAACTTTTTCTTTTTCTTCCATTTCTCTCCTCCATAATATTGGAAAACCAATGAAACCTCTGCAGAATGTGTTGGATGCCCTAGCTTATAATACAGAGTAAGGGAGGGCCTGTAAAAATTATGCAGTGTGGATGCCCTATGCCATCCTCCATCTCCTGTTTTCCCATATCCCATCCTGCTGCCATCAATCAGCATCTCACACACAATGAAGAAGTCCTATCCTCCTTGGGTTGTTTCTGCGGCCCCCTTAACTCAGGTCCCCTTGATTATCTTGATCTTCCACAAACATTGGGGTTCTCCCCAGCCTCTTGAAAACTACTCAAGGGTGATGCCATTTTGGCTATGTAAGTAGTATCATTTAGAGAATTCACAAATATCATTAACATCTAATGATACATAACAGAATGTGCATCCAAACTCAGATGCTGTTTAATACATTCAACAAGCTGCACATTACTAATATTAAGCCCTTGGAAAGCTCACACAATAATCTTAAAATCCACCAGATACAAATAATTTACTTGATTACTGTACAATGGAAAGCAATTTAGACAGAAAGAGAGGTAGGGATATTTCTCTCTGCTACTGAAACTGGGCTAAAAACTGAATCTGTTGGATCACCGAAGCAATCATCCTCTAGCCAAAGGAACAAAAATGGCTGTGAGATCATTACTTGAGAACTGTATTATCCAACACCACCTGCCCACCAAAACCTCTACGAAATAACTAGTGCATACTTTATGCACAAACCCCCCATGTTGATCATTGAAGAGGTAACACCTATTTCCCATAAGGGATTAACACATATAATAGGCAAAAAAAGTATTCTCACAATAAAAAAGGATCATCAAGATAATAACTGTTTTAAATCTTTGTTTAGATATTCCCCTGTAAACTTGTAGCATACCATTAATTAACAGCATATCTAATAACGGCGTTGAAAAGAACCTTAGTAAAATATTGGAAACTGGAAGCAGCCTCATATAGGATGATGCACAAAACAAACAGAATACACTATTTTGTCAAAATATGTATACCTATGCCATCTATTCACTCGAGAGGGAGGACAGGGTGCATTGCACAACATGTATCATGCTGAACACCATCGTTGTGAGACACATCTGTAGTGTGTCTAACTCCCTTAGTGTTTTCTTAATTTACTTCAGTATTAAAACCCTTGGATTTTTGCATCTCCTTTTTTTTCCCTGGTAAAAACCATCTGGGTTTTTGCAGTGCTATAAATATGTCAGTGTTGGGCTCTCTCTGGTGGTCAAATACATTCTCTACACTGTGTGGCCTACCTGGATAATCTACCAATTAAACAACAACAGTATCACTTTTGTGAAGATAAAGGATTTAAATATATATTCATTTGTAAATAAACATTGCCCGTTCTTTTTCTATATGATGAAATGTCTGTCTCTCTTGTCTATCACTGGTTACACTCTCAAGTACTAGCCTGATACCAGATTCACTTTAAGCAGTACAAAAGTATGCTACTGTCCAAAACATCTTACCTTGGGCTTTTCATCCAGTATTTGCTGACGAATCTCCTTGTGTTTCTCCACAAGCCTTTCTTGTCTTTTGCTCTGAGCATCTTCTAGCTGAGATAAAATAATAAAATAATATATTGTACTCAACAAGCATGGTTTAATTTTTCAGTTCTGTACTGAAATTCCATTTGGTGTAGCACAATGTAAATAAGCTTAGTGTAATATTGTAATGTTAAATCATTTGTTGTCTATAATTAAATCATTTGTTGTCTAATAATTCAGTATCTTTGACAATAAAAGAGAATTCACATTTATTTCTGTATCTGTGTTTATCTGCTATAGCTCCGGAACAAAAAACTGAACACTTGGCGGTCGGCATGGATACAAGAGGTCTGTGCAATTTGGGGTTATAGAGCTTTTGAAATGAATGAATTAATTATAGTTAATTAAAATATGTGTGCATCATATAACATAATTTTTAGTCAGTAGTGTTGATCAGTAGTTTGCAATACTAACCTTCCCAAGGGACAAAGCTATAGGAAGGCCTGGCATATTCATTATTCACAGCCCCCTGCCACTCCTCAACAACTCTGTGTGGTGGTCTCCCTTGGAGAACCTCACACTTCACAACAGCTGATAAGTGAGTAAGAAAGAAAGAAACAGGTGGACAGAAAGAGAAAGATAATTGTCTGCTATCTGATAAGGAGCAGGAGATAAGGTTAGAGACCAGAGACAAAGACTGGACAGATAATAAGCTGGAGAGAAAGAGAAACGAGGGGGAAAAGAGCACGAGAAAACAGAAAAGAACATACAAAGAATATTGGATGAGCAGAATAAGAAGTTGCCAACTCATGATAAGCCTGGACTTCTGGAACCCTCCAAGCTTTTATCCAAGAACCAATTAAAAAACATGCAGAAAGGATAAAATAATAAGGATAAAACAATCAACATCAACTATTTTATTTTGTGTTTTTTTTAAGTTGGAAAAACACAAGCCTTATCTAATTCATTTCTGGGATTATGTTGGATCACAATAATTGCACTCGGCTCCTCAATCCATAATGGAGGATTATTGCTTGATTGGTTGCACCTTCAATGGTTAATGTTTCTTCCTTTCTCAGCATCACTCATATATGATTTTAAAACATTTTTCATTTCAATAAAAGAATGAGGGAGAAAATTAATCCTGGCAAAAGTGGTGATCTTACTCAATAACTTCCAGAAAGGAAAATAATGTGTGACATAATCTAGAAAGGTTATCTTTCCAGCTTTGAGAGAGGCCATTTTAAAAAGAATGAACCAGAAAAGGGCAGGAAGGAGGTCCTTTCTAAAATAGACATTTTAAGTTCCTAATAATCTCCCTGAAATATTTATCTTTTGGTGCATTGGAACACAGGCAAACGGCACGTTTTTGTTAACCAAAAGCAGTCCCACCATTTCTGGCTGGGTTTGCTGGTAAGCAAGCGTTAGTCCAAAGAAATCTGAGGAGGACCTAAGGCTGGTGTAAGGAGTAACATGAAAAGAGCCAGCCATTTGTCATGGGATTTTCGGAATTCACAGACTACAGTCTCCAGAGGTCTGCAGGAATCCTCCCCAGTAGGCTTCTGGAGGCTTTAGCCAAACAACCCCCGTTCTTTCAGGTGTCTGCATTACTTTTCCCTGAGAAATAGTGGCTTTTCTTGGACATGATAAAGATGGAAGAAGTGAGTGGTAACTGCAGGGGCATATGAGTCTGTCGTGTCCCTGCCTACTGTATTCCATATAGGGTGCTTTGCAGGAAACTATCATACCCATGATGCCTTCGAGCCCTGACTAGCTATGTCCTCCATCATGCCTGGGAAAACCATTACAGTATATCTCAGATGAAAGTGATTATAGACACCTCAAGAGATTTTTTCCTCCCTTCCTCCAGCAAAATCCCCTCCCTAAGGTCTGGCTGGGTGAACTCCTGCAAACGTTTGGAAGCAGTAGTTCATGAAGTCTGAAAATCCCCTGCCTACCAGCTGTGCTTCCAAGTTGCTTGTTGGTGAACTATCTATTGCTGCTGAAATGGGAAGTGAAACGGGATGGCTACTTCTCCTACCACGGCCAGTAAGGAGCATATCCACATCACTTTCTGCCAGGAAAAGAACCTCAGTTCTGCAGAATAGAGAGAGCTGAACATTTTAATTGACCAGAATTTAATGAATTTGCAAAAAATCAAACACAGGTGAAAGAATTTCCCAACCTTCCTAGTAATAGGTGGAAATTTCATTTAGTTTCATATCAAAGTTGATCAAAAAATTTTGACTTCACTTTGTGGGACAAATAGACAGATTTAGCCATCTCCACTTGAGAAGACCTTCTCCCTGGCCAAACTTCATGCACTGTTTCCTTGAACTGAGCCTGCTAGAATTCATCCTATTTGTATCCTGCTGGCTGTAGACCATCTGACTGACAGATGATATATCCTCAATGAGACTGGGACTCTATATTCCAGCTCAAGGAAAAAGTGCTGTTTATATCAAGTTAAATCAGGGAGAAGGGCATCTTAAGCAGGAATGGAAAGCTCTACAGCAAAGACGGAGCCCTAATATCTTTCCTGTGGCTGCCTCTGGCTTCATCCTTGATGCTACAGGTAGACAGACAGATGGGCAGATAGGTATGTGAAATTGTAAGTAAGCTGATGTGTGCATTCAGAAATAAACTTGGGCTTGGTGGAAAGAGTGGGGGGGGGGAATAGAAGGAAAGCAAGCAGTAAGCCTGGCTGTTGTAGAGCAGACCTTGCTTGCAGGCCGCTTCTAACAAGGTATGAATAGACCCCTGCTCAATCTGTGCCTTTGAATGAGGAACCAAACCCTTGCTTTTATAAGTATGCCTATTCTGTTCTATCTATATATATTCTTGCAAGCATCTACAAGCAATTCTCGCCATATGACTTAGAGATTATGTTCATTGCCTCACTGTATATGAACAGGAAGGGGATTCTTCAGTTCCTCATACTTTCTGTTCCATTATGCTATCAGACATGAGACACAGATACGTCCCACCTTTCTCCCCATCATTTAGACAAGCTACTGTAGCCTGAGGCTTTACCATTTATTACTTTGAAGAAATTCGTGTACTTACTGAAGTTTGCTTGTTATCTTCAAACTGTAAGCGAAAACAGATTTTTTACAGTGTCTGTATGCAGCAGACTCACCCTTTTAATGTACTGCACCACCTCCTGAATATACGATCGAATCATTTCTGTCTTCTCCCTGGGAGCAAGAGCAAAAACTACTGATTCTATTCAATTAATTATTATCTCATATTATCAGTACATATATAATACACTGATTCTGCCACAAATATTTTGCTCATAAGCTATACCTCAGTTATGCTAAATAAGGAAATACTAACACTAGATGGCACAGGAAGAGTCTAATTCCATTTAGTAAACTACAAAATGGTTCACATTTTCTGGCAGAGACTGCCAACAGATCACACAAATGAACGTTAGTGAGCTTCTAATAGTTTTCTCTTTATATATGTGTGTGCATGCATGTGTGATTACAACTTACTGAATTGCCTGCTTGATCGAAAGATGCGCATAGCTCAGAAATATGAGAGTGGGGAGGAGTCTTGGACTACAGGTATCCGAACTTAATGTTGTGGAATGCATGGTCAGTAGCTGCTGGACCATAGGAATTGTCACCTATCACCTAAAAAAGCAATACTTCCAAGTTCTGAAGATGGGACACAGATCTTCTAAATATATAACTACATAAATATCGCCATGCATAATCACCAAGGGTCTACAATGCATGCTGTTGCCTATCTCCTCCAGTAACTTTGGTTACTGGGGAGAGGAGTAACCAAAATTACATCTAAAAATCAGCCTGGAACGTTAGCATCTTTATCAGTTTTTCAACACCTTTTAGACTTCAAGGTGAGAGCTAGAGACTCTACTTACTCATCCACTTGACTCCTGTCCTTGGATTTAACTTCTGTGATTTTCTCCTGCCTCTTTTTGTCCATCTTTTTCTTCAGCTCTTTCTTTTCTCTGCAACAAACAAACTTTTTGAATAAAAGAAAAAGAAAGGTAGGAAAAAGAACAGAACTGATAGCACAAGCTTAAGCATATAAAGAAAGTAATTAAGTCCCACTATCTTGCAGGAGCTTATTCCTTGTTTAGTGTGTTTAGATGCAATGGTGTAAGACAAATGTTTGTTTACAACATGCCTTACCTTTCACAAGTTTCTTTAAGTTTCTTTAGCTGATTACTCTGGCATTCCTCTGCTACGTCTGTCAACTTCTGAATAAGCTTTGGGGAGAAAACTGGCATGTTAGAAATTGCATAAGTCACACTTCATTGCTGAATATTCTGAGGGTCTAAGATGACAACATGCTTGATCTCCAGTCCATGAGAACAGGAAGGAGGCACTACTGCATGGTAAAAGTCCATGCTGTGTATGCAGAAGTTCTCAGGTTGAATTTTAGGCATCTATGTTGCTAGTCAGCACTGGAGTTTGGGAACACGCCACTCTCAAATGTTGTTTAACTGCATTTCCTAGCAATTTCTCATTGTTGGCTACGCTGGCTATAGCTGATGGGAGCAGCAGTCCTGTAACATCCAGAAAGCTGCACTGGGTCCACCCCAACACACAATACCCTGCAAACATAACAAGCTGTCTTACACTAGCCCATCGTTGTTAATTCTGACCACCTGTGTGGAAAGCTTCAGCCTTTCAAATGGAAATGCTGGCGTATTGTTGCCTATATGTGAAGGATGGGCTCTACTATTTGAATTGTTTACACATGAAGGATATGCTCTACCACTGAATGCCAGCCCCTTCCAATGGGGCATTAAGTCAAATTTTTAATACCAATTTTGTCTTTTGACCTATTGTCTCAAAGTTCCTTGAACTGAGAAACATTCTCTCATGTGCCTTGTGCTGTATTTTCAAGCTTTTAATTTCACAGCCACATGGTAAGCCCCTTTGATCCATTCCTGATTGCCCACCACCCAAAACAAAACTTACAACAAATTTTTAACATAATTTACACAAACAAGTAACTCAACGGTTCTTGCTCTTTGGCTCTTCGGATGACTGGGGTTTTCAGTCCCAGTCCAGATTGCCTACACAGCTGTCTCCTAAACTTAGGAACGAGTCAGAGCTACTGAGTTGCCAAAATTCAGCTTCAGTTTGTTGGCCCTCAGCCAGCACATCACTGATTGTTTGGTTCTGACATTAATCAACAACCTGCATGGCTGCATCTCTCTCAGATATTACACAGAGACAGAGCTATGTGTCTTCAGCATATTGATGGCACTTGCCTTCAAATCTTATAACACTCCCTATTAAATAACACTGGGGATAGGAGAATGCAGAATGTCTTCCCACTAACCATGTTTACTATTGAAAAAGAGTAAACTTGTGTTATATTATAAAGCCAGCTTAGTGGCAGGAGCAGAACGGATGAAACATTGAGCTCCCAAAAGTCCATCCAGGAAGCTGGCCCAAGAAGATACTATGTCTAATAGTAACAAATAATAATAGAGACTGGCCAGAATTAACAGGGTCACACTCTTCCTGTCTCTCTCTTGCTAAAGAGAGCCTGATATGACACCATGGGGCGAAAACCTCCTGCACTCCATGGCCACTACAGGCACTTTTACAGGCCCAAGTCATTTTTCCAAGCTCTGGGTTGCATGAGTCTCCCAAAGCGCTTAACCCTCCCAACCCCACATCTGCAATTTAAAAAAACATTTTAAACTTGCACTTTCTGTTCTGAAAGCTTCCAGAAGCAATGATTTTGTTTGATCCCCTTCAATGAAACAGGAAGTTGACATTCAGTCACTTCCTGTTTCAATTTGTTCAACACTGCTTGCATTTTCAGGGGCAATCAAGCCTTTAGTAGGAGCAGACAACTGCATGCGCACACTGGTCCACCAGAGTTTGACTAACTCCTAGCAAAAATGTATTCGGCCATTAAATGCAACTACACATTTGAGTTCTGAAAGAGGCCCCCACAAAAGTATCATACGAGATATATGCCCTCAATATAGCAGCAAGCCTTGGGAAATGAAAAAGGTACCAGCACTATTATCATGGCTGGAATCTGGAGCCCCTCAACGGGCAACAAATCACTACAGTATGCTTAAGTCCAATCTTAGAAAAACTGTAGAAACTGACTAACTTAGAGGGCTACCTCACAAGCAAAGAATAAAATCTCATCTGCCTCGCTGGAGTGCAGAGACAGAACATCTTAACGACTCTGAAATCTTGCACAACAAAGTAACTGTGTACGAATACCTCCAGTGTCCATATGCTGAGGACAGTAACATTGAAGAGCCTTCTTCTCCTTCCTTTTTAGCATTCCACAACATTTATTACTAACTGATGCTATTCCTGTTTTAGCTCTGAGGGCTGCCCTACACAGGGTGCCTGACTCGGCCTGCAGCAGAGTTGCAGCTGTAAAAATAAAAGCTGTTTGGGGACAATACATGCATAATTTTATTCTGCTGTTTATAACTTGCACTCTGGCATCCATTTAAGAGCCCACATAGTTTCACAGAAGACCGTCTGGCACAAATAAGAGCTGGAAGCCATTTTTAGGGATATCCAAGTTCTTGTTTCCAAGTCCTCTGTAGGCTACACTCGTCTAATTGCTTATTCTGGAATGATTTCTGTTCATTAAATGGCAGTATAATATTAGGCAGAGCTTGCTGGTTTTAGCTTCAAAGCCGTAAGAGGTCAAGATCCCTAAAAAGCAGTACAAATGTCAAAACAATCAATTATAGGCCAGCATTTGTAGTTAATGGGAGAAGGCTTAAAAGCTTTGCAACATAATGTCTCTGCGATAGTAAGTCTGATACTAATACATTTATATTAAATCAGCAGGACAGCTGCTTTTGAAATGTTACATTTGCATCTTGTTTAAGAAACATTTCATCTTATAATCATTGGACATCCTCAGGTTTTGCAGCTTGATATGGTAGGGGAAGGATAACCAGAAACATGTGATTTACATGTGAAGCACAACGACATCTCTCAGACACATGTGCTTCGAGTAGCCAAAACCATAGCTAGGTCTTCACAGAATGTTTGCATCAAAAACCTCAAAGAAAGTGCAAAGTCTCTCATACATACCAATTTAATATGTGCTTGCTTCTGATATTTTTCGCTGTAATACTGTTCTTGTCGAAGATTAAGCAGCTGCTGCTGCTGCTTCTCTTTAAGCTCTATTAACTTTTGAGTCATTTCCGAATCAAGGGCAGCCAACTCTTGTTCAACAGTTGAAGAGCTATGATCTGGACTACCAGTTTCTCCTCTGCAGAACAATGTGGAAAAACAAAGGTAATTCAAACATGTCGTGATGGCGCACACCACAAATTGTATAAATATGAATGTGTTTTCTGCATCTTGTGACTGTGTTACCCAAAATTTAATAGACAAAATATGCTTAGGAAGGAGGCCTCCCACTCATATAAACCATACTGAATTAGCCACAAAAATCATATACTTTATAAACCCTCACCTCTTGAAGGTTCACTATTTATTATTTATTCATTCATTCATTTATTTATTTGACTAGACCACCTAGACCAAAGGTCTACTCTAGAGAAAGCTCACTGAATAGGAGATAAACCACTTAACGTCTATTCAATTTAAGTGGAAATATCAATGCTTTGAAAAATGTGAGCTGATCCACACCTCCGGGGATGTGGTATATTGTCAGATGGTTCTTTGTTCATTTTATACCTCATAGGACTGTTTACCAATGACAGCTGAATAATGCATAATGATGTAATTTATGCAATAAGACAACAACAATGACTAGCAAAAGGATTTTCCATCTGAGGTGTGCTACAGTGTTTCTTTTATGTTACAAGACTGACCTACTGTGTCAACTGAATACACAGATTGACACAGACAGACACGCGCACATACACACACATGTAGACAGATAGAGCCATATTCTTTAATGTGCTGGTATTTGAGGAGAACATGTGTTATGCTCCCACAACTGTCTTTTATTTCCATTGGTTCTAAAACCGGAGTGTTGGTTCACTGGCAGCAATCACTTCTTACAAGTCTTCTTGACTACAGGAATGTCCAAACTGCTAGAGAATGACCCAAAGTAGTTTGCTGAAACATATTTCATAGAGATCTTAGGTTAATTTCTGAATGCACACATCAGCTTCACATGTCTGTTTGTCTGTCCATCTGACTTCCTGTCTTTTTCCTCTGTAGATATTAGTGTAATCCTTCCAAGTAATCCACTTTAGTACTGTATTGATTCTGCTATATATACCTGCAGAGATGTGTGGATGTGTGTATGTGATATGTATACTTCCAGTTGAACCATGTTCACAAGTCTAGTCTTATCCTATCTGGAGCAAGCCCCAATTTGGTATGAAGGACAGTCAAAAGACAGATTTCTGAAACTTTAAATGTTTGCCACTCTCTCTGTGTTTGTCTTCTTTCAGCTTAAGCCACCTATTTACTTGCTACACAGTCCAACACCCCATAATCAGGAATAAGAGTACAGTGTAATGCAGGGAACCTGCCCCCCACCTTGATTTTCAGGCATTGTTATAAGAGCAACAGGCTCCATATGTTTCCAGCTGGATGCCTGGCGGTGGGGGAAAATATTTTAGGAGCACTAATATCAAGGTAATGCTGTTGTTTTAAAAATGCAAGATTCTGAAATCTTATGAATGGAAATAAGACACAGAGGCAGGCGCAAATAGGCCTACTTAGCAAGAGAACTGCTTTCAGGTTGTGAGATCAATGAACAGCACTGGTAAGACACCACTGAGTGAGGATGAATGGATGTATAGTTATCTGGAAAGAGGGTTCCACAGCACCAGCCATGGGGTGAAAAAGGCATGTCTGGAGTATTCAAACACTGCAAAAATGCCGATCATTTATCAGCATTTGAGTTAACTTCACTTTCCTGATGGTACTCTTGTCCCATTTAAGCACCATATTTTAGACACGGTGCCCAGTCCCATTTCAAAACCTATAAAAAACCCCATCTTTTATCACTCAGGACTAACCCTTTTGGAACTTGTGCACCCCATATGCATGTGACTTGATGGGAAACTATTCAGAGACCTCCAAGGAACCAAGTTCACCAAAGGCCAACCTCTGTCAAAGGAAAGCAAGCTGAGTGGAACAACGTACAGAATTATACGGAAAATATCATTTTCACAAAACAGAATCTGAACAACTAAACTCCCAAAGGAATTGTGTGATATTTTTGGTCTTGGGAAAGAGCTGTAACTATAAAGGATGAGGTGAGAAGGGGAAACCATGAATGGGGCATGTGAAATAAACTGAGGAACAACAAACTAAACAGCAACTATTTTTTAAATTAAAAATTAGGCCAACACAAATAAAATACATCAGTCTGTGACTTGACAGATAATTAGAGGTGTTTACAGCTCTACCCAGGTGTTAAGCACATTGCCTAGGAAATCGTAGAAATAGAGTAAAAATGGGAGAGTTTACTTAAGCCCAGAGGTCTTGCTTGAGAAACAGTACAATAAAAATGTAGGCCTAAATCCAGTTGTGAAGCCAAAAATAGACTCACCAAATCAGTAGAACTTATGTAAGTATTGACTTGCCACTGAACAACTGATTCAGTGTGGCTACTCTATTTGGGACTAACCAGTTGGGTTTAGGCTGTAGACAAATGGAATGCAATGAAAGCTTGCACTGGGAAGCAGTTAAAAGATAAAGCTGTTAATTAAACAAAACATCCTGGGAACAGTATTAAACAGGACGCAGAAGACATGTACAGATGGGGCCACTTGTAAATAATTCCTCTACAGATTCATGAGAAAAGGGAATGGCAGTTTAGACTTCATCTTAGCAGGCCATCTCAAAAAAACAGGCCAAATGTAAATATAGATTTCTATGGTGTCATTAGCCTTGATAAACCTAAGATATTCCTTGCTTGTGCAGGCATTTCCCACCATGTCCAAATTCTCCCTCTTAAGTGATGTGCACCTTCCACCCCTGTGCCCATGGAAGCTGGTCATGGACCACCTCCTGCACAGAGTCATAGAGTGAGGGCAGGACTCTAGAACTGATGGTTTTCTGTGAGCGAGGAGGTGAAAAAATGCGGCAACTGGTGGAAGGACAAGGTTTCCATGGTGAACAGTGGAATCTCAAGCAGGACAATCTTCTTGTTGACAAGATGAGTGGCTGCCTACTGCACCTTGCCCTTGGACCACTTGCTGAGGGTCAGTACAGAACCAATGGGTACAACTTTGTGGAGTGTGGCTTGTCACATGTTCCCAACCCCAGCAACTCCCGTGACTGCCCTTTTTCAAGGAGGTGCATCCCACTGCCTCCCCACTTCTCCCTCTGGTGTTGCTCTTCCTCCCCCCACCCAAAGAGGGTAGCAACATACAGCCTTCCCTAATCAGAAGTCTTGGATGGTGCCTCTCCAGATGTTGGCAGTGGGTGGAAGAGGACAGATGCCTGAGGTTTGACCACCACAAGGCAGGCATTGCAGCATGCCAGCCGTGGGTCATCGTTCACCATGGGGAAATTATCTCATAGGGACCCTCTGACCTGTTTGGCACTACAATGACCCACTTCCAGCCCCTGCCTGTTGCTAGCCTGAGAAGACTGTGTGCACTGTCACAACACTTCAACACTTTTCCTTGCAATAGCTATTCAGATTCAGGAGTGCTGCTATTATAGGATGATTAAATGTGTCTTTGCTCGCTTAGTTTCAGGAGACAGAAAGATTCAGTCAAGACAGCATATGCCTTCAGGCACAGTTTTCCTCTCTGGCTGTGTGTGACTCACCATGAACTACCTCAACATGAGCTACCTTCCCACTGATAGGAGTTTCTGCCCAATGAAGTTAACCTATTGTTTCAATAAAAGGGGAAAGTGATGGGCAATTTTGTTATGGTAGGAGCAAACTCTGTACAACATACTTTTTCTTACTATCTTTTTTCGCCGTCTTCTCCAGGACTGCCCTCCGCCGCAGGTAGTCATTCTGGATTTCATTATACTTTGTAGTATGCTCTTTTATAAGATCTGTGGTTTTCTTGTGGTGTTTCTTCACGAGATCCTTCATTTCTTTGTAGTGCTTCTTCTGTAGTTTCACAAATGCCTTCTGTTGCTTTAGCTCCTCGATGGTTTGGGCTTCAACTTCTGCAATAAGGAGAGAAAATGCTTCATTGTTGTTAGAGTTTGACATTATGAATCCACAGGAATATGCAAAATGTATTAATAGACCTTTGAATCCCCATTGGAACAGGGATTTTGAGAGGCTGAAAACAGGGCCACTTTTATGCCTCTTGGCCGATGTTATTTACTGACATAGTAATGTTAGTAGATAAGAAGTATCCTAGGCAACCTTTCATTGTTCAAGACAATAAAGACATGCTTTGTAGGTTTAAAAATCTCTCCCCACCTAAGGAAGAAATGAAATGATGAATAAACTATGTTAATCCATGTCAATGAATAATCACAGGATGAACCTGCTCACCCCTCCATATACACATCAGCCAATCTTTATCTGCACCTACTGTAAATAGTTCTGTGAAAAGACTACATTTTAACTTATATTTCCCTCAAATATATAGCAGAGAGGGAGAGAGAGGGAGAGATCAGTAAAAATTGACCTCACACTGAAAATAGTGAATCTCATTAATACCTGGAACATCCACTATCTCCATTCTCTCCTTCTCCCCTTCCTGCACTTCAAATAAGCAAATTTTTTTCTTCCTCCTTTCCCTTTGCTATGTCATATGCATGTCCACAGTTTTCCACCATATAGGTCCCCGACATGGATCCCCTTGCCACAACCATGTATAGCAGCAGCACACGCTAGTGCCACAAAACGATAAAAATGCAATTATCATCCAGGCTCTAGTCTAGGGAATGTACACTAAGGCTGGGAGGCACTTCCAGTGCACCCTGGAGGCAATACAGAGCTAGCAGAATGGTCCCTATGGTGCCTAGGCTTGAGCCCTATGCTGCTACACAGCATTGCCAGCACACTATGTTTGAGAAATGGCAGTGGCGCGTTTCAAAATGGGATGGTGTATGAAGGGCTGGTTTTGAAGGAAGGGTGGCACAGAAATGAGCCATGAATTTTAGAGGGGCCTGTGCTTGATTCAGAAGGACCCATGAAGCCTGGTTTTTGAGGCTGCTCCTCCACGGCAACTTTTAAGATTTAGCTGTATAGCAAGTAAATAATAGTATGACAATTACACTGGGATGAAACATGTGTACCTGTGATTTGCTCATGTTGTATCTCCCCCCTTTTTATATCCAGAAGCTTTGCAGACAAAACAATGGACCTGTCCACAAACATGCTCAGGTCACAATGCTGCTTGCAACAGGTAGTGGTACATTTGCTTGCCAATAATTCTCTACTTTACAATTCATGAAGCCCTTGGATTATATGTGAATCTCTAGCTATTTCTCAGCCCTCTTTCCCATCAACTTCTTCCAAATTTGATGTAGTGACAAAAAAAGGGGGTGGGGGGAAGGCAAGGGAAGCAGGTAGACAGGAAGGAAGAATTTTTTCATGAAAACATGATGCGCAGGATGCAGAAAGCTTGTCTTCAAGCCTAACAGTGGTCCAGGAAGTTTCCTGAAAGTACTAGCAGCTTTGTAAATGAAGTGTTCATATACCATGTACACCTTGTTTCCAATGGATATAACGCTCTTGAAAGAAATAATTTCACCAGAGGCAAAGTGCACATGCTTGTTTAAAAAGGCTAACAGGACATCAAAAATCACAGTCAGCCTTAGAAACAAGGTGCAGGCATCTTAAAAGCATCAAACGGTTGAATC